TGTCAAGAGAAAGCAACGAACAACTGAAATTCGAGCTAAAATTGGAGTTTTTATGCTCCAAGATCAAATCCAAGATGAAAAGTAAAGAAGACATGTGTTCTAAGGTGAAAAACTTTTAAAAACCGAAGTCAGATCCTCCAAAAAATGCCCCCCAATCGATCTCTTATCCTTTCCAATTCAAATTCCAGAAAATCCGCACTGGTCATAAAACAGTCCTTAGCGGCGCTAAGGTCTTAGCGCCGCTAACCCATGTTAGTTGTTCGGTTCTGCCCGCTGGAATGTCCAAAGCGCCGCTAACCAAAGGGGCCTTAGCGGCCCTAAGGTCCCGTTGTCCAAAATTTTGGCCTTCTTCTCTACAGCTTGCTCGGCTACGTCGCTCGGGTACTGCCCGAGCTGGGAATTCCATCCTCGCTTGCTTGGGCCCACAGAAATATGCTCGAACCATCCACTTCTCATCTGAATGAGCGTTCGCCAAACCGATCAACCCAACACCTGAAATCGCACCAACGGAAAAACACGAAAAACAGAGAAAACAGGAGGAAAAAGCAACAGTAAAACTAAACAACCCAAAATAAAGATAAAATCATAAGAAAGGACTAGACGGACCGAAAAACCTAAGAAAAGACCTAAAATGGGGGAAACGCAACACAAAATAGCCACGAAAATAGCAACAAAAACGGGACAAACATATCACATGTGTACTAACTCAACTTGATCAACATGTAGTTACAACATGGTATTTGCACCTTTTACCGAGATAGATAACCACAACAAATGTGTCACGTTTGTCGCCGCGTTAATATCAAAAGATGACGTGGATTCTTATGTCTGGGTGTTCAAGGATTTTAAAGATGCAATGATGCACGAACCTGAATATATCGTCACTGACCAAGATTCCTCCATCGGCACTGCGTCTTCTAAGGTATTCGAAACTTGCAAACACCGATTTTGCATGTGGCATATAATGACTAAATTATGATCGCATGGGGTATATGTACTAGTTTTATACAATACGAATACAAGGAAGATGTAATTACACTCTTACACATTGCGAGAACGATGACTCCACATAATTTGTGCTTTATTTGAGAACTGTAAGATTATATTTAAAGAAATTCAAATATATGAGATAGGAAAAAGCTACCATTTCATCACGGAATAATTCCGTGAAGATATTTAGCCACTAAATATATAGTTATTATAGATACATGTAAGTTGAATATTTATCTAATGGCTAAAAATGCTCACGGAATTATTGTGTGACAGGATTGTAGTCTCATTTTGCTAACAATTAAAAAAAAAAAGATTTTATAAGGAATGTTTTTTTTAGTATAATCTTGATTTAATTTTTTCCCTTTTTAGATGGTCACCCCATTCACTATCGCACATACATACAAACTAGGATAAAGAATGGTCAACAACCTTCAACCACGATGCAATGCAAAAATTGTACGCTTAAGAAAATAAAAATAAAAATAAAACAAAAAACTTTTTGTTTTTCCTGCAAACGCAATTTCACCATAACTTCTCTTACCTTGATACCAAATCTAGAACACATAACAACCTTGATTATTCTGTTTTCCTTTGCTTCTTCAATAACTATCCTTTTTTGTTATTATTTTGCATAAGGTGATTGCTTGATCCATGGCCTCCTAGGGTTCTATTGGGTTACAATTTTTACACATTTTTTATTCCATTGTTATTTTCGGCCATTGCATGTTGTAATTGAAAGGGCTCTAGTTATTTTCTGGGTAAAATGGCGACGGCTTTTGATAGATGGAAGAAGGACCCTTTTTTCTCTATTGCAGAGGAAGTTCAGGAATCTGACGACAGGTGCTATTCGATGAATTTAACATTTTTTTCTGGCAAGAATTTTAAGGAATTCTGTCATGATGAAGATAGTTTTGCCCCTTTTTAGCCGATAGTTGTTACTCTTAGCTATCTTTTTATTCGTATTATTGATGCAATTTGACTATTTTATTTTGAAGGATGGAATCATCTTATAGAACATGGCTCGCTGCATTGAAGAATACCAATGGTGTTTGGAATGTCGATGAGCTAGGAAGGGATCTCAGAACAACCCTCGGCACAACAAAGTGGCAGGTAATTGTTTGCTTATAGCCTATATCATAGTTATGCCTGAACATTATAATTAATGGGTAAGGCTACAGTCCAGTCACGGAACCATTCCGTTGGGATTTGTAATTGTTAGATGAACATGTTACACTCATCTACATGTGCATCTAACGGTTAAAAATCACGGAATGGTTTTGTATCGGGACTTTAGCCTTTTCCATAATTAATGGGTAAAAAACTTCAAACTCCATATGTTTGCTTGTTTATGCAAATTTTATGCACCAACTACTATTTTTTAATGGGTGTTACTTTTTCCAACTTGCCCTGCTATCGTTTATAAGGTGGTTTTGGTTAACACATATCTAGTTTTTATTTTTTATATTTTTTTCAAGTATTAGGGGTCTAAATGAAACATTATGAAATTTAATTTGGGGATTGGAACAAACCGAACAATATTAAAATTTAACACATGACAAATTTTCATTAAAATCAAGAAGGGGGGTCCTTCTTATTGTTTTGTTATAATCGTGTTTACAGGTATAATAAGCTTGCCGGAAAAATATTAATGATATCCGATGTTGTGTCTTTGGACAGAAAAATTGCCGAACATGTTAGCTATACATGAAGGAATTTAAAAAAATTCAAAAAATAGGACATTTAGTTTAAAAAAGCCACCTTATGAATGGTATTGGTGGGGGCAAGTTAAAAAAGTTTGTATGACTGCTTTACAAAAAAAGGAATGTTCATATGGTAAGTTGCAAAAACGGTGACAGTTTGGAGTTTTTTAAGTCTTCCCCAAATCTAAACATCTATTACAGTTATTAATTAATTTTTTTGTGAAGGCATTAGTGGTGTGTTCTTTGCACTTTTATTGCACTTGTCAGCTTATTGTGAAATAAATGCGAGAATGACTTATGCAGTTGGAAGAATTTGAGCGTGCAACAAGATCGAGTTACATCAGCACTAACTCGGCTGATCAGGACGCAAAAGATAGACATCAAGAATTCATAGTTGCTATCAAGGATCAGATAACAAAAGTTGAAAGCTCTTTAAGCAAATCCACAGTTTCACATGGCAAGCCACCCCTGCCCTGGGTGCTATTAGATGAAGGTAAAGAAATGAACTTGCCTTATTTCTTTCAGAACCGTCTTTGAATATGACCTCGAGCAAAGCTCACAGTGTCAAACAGGGAGTGGAAATCTCGCAAGAGGCCTGTGGACTAACAACGAATAAGACTTCAAGGAGTTTAGCTCATTTGGTCGAGTAGTACCAAGTGAGCGGTAAGAAAGAGAAGTTTTCAGGTCATCGTAGGATGGCTAGTGCCAGTGCTGACATTGGATCTTGGAAAATTATGGTGCCTGATGATGTATTGACACATAGTCAATCCAAAATAAATCCTGATCCACCCCCATGAAAGATACCTAGTATTTCTAGCTTCTTGAATACCATGGAATCTTCTGTATCTCAATTAAAATGGTCAAGGAATGGTTACAAGAAATTAAAGGTTACTGATCAGCCTCAAGAATTGGATACTACACTGCCGAAGCATCAGAATTTGACCCAAGTCAGTGTTTTGGTTTTTCGTAATTATAACCATAATAATTGTCTTGTCCCTTTTGTAAGTTCTTGTTGGTTGTGTTTCACTAAGCATGATAAAATTGTATTTAATATGAAGGGCACAAACTTATGCTACGAGAAGAGTAAGAGTTGCATTGCAGTTTGCGATGATTATTATGACAAGCAGTGGTATGGTTGGTACGGTACCATCCAGAGACAACTTCAGAGGTCTCAATATCATATCCAGTATAGTCGGCCTGTTCAAGTCATTTTCTCTGTTATCATCCTTCTATGCTTACTGGGTGAGCTTGCTAAATTTACTCTCTTCTTTACTGTGACTATCTTGGCTTACTTTTTGGCAATGATTTTGGTTTGGAACACTTCCATATGTTAACAGTTCCTGTAGTTGGACGATCAAATCTTCTCCCTGAGCCATATGTGTGTGTGCTTTATTTTCTCATAAGATGTTTATGTTACACTTTTAAAACTACGGCAGTATCAAATGTATGAACCATGAGTATCAATATTTGTTATGTAACTTGATGGTGTCTTATTGGGGAGTTCAATGATATTTGACATCTTCCTGTATAAGTATTACAAATGGCTTTACTAAATATAATAGATGATAATTGATGTTATTATATTATATGATGTATACATATTTTTTTTTTCTTTGCTTGTTTCATACAAATGATTTTACTTTACAATATATATCGGGAGTTGGATTGCTTGTGGCCTTAATATGTTGTGTGTGAGTGAAACTTCAATTTTTAAAATCATCAAATTGAGGACTATTTTGGTTGGAAATTCCAATTTCGGCTGCAAATTTAATGACATGCCAAATTTTATGGCCAAATTGTCATCAAAATTGATTTCATCTGACTACTTTTGATACACACTCATAGGTACGAGAGCATTTTTGAAAATTATTCTTCTGATATTTACATTTGTGAAATATGCCCCGGTTGTTTATTGGTTTTGCATTGTGTTGTATACATCAATCTTATCCATGCCTAGGGGTAATATTTTCCATATTTTAGTTTTTAAGCGAAATTTGGTCGTTTGTACTATGTTATGTAGCACTTCCATAACATTTCTGCATATTAAAGAATTTGATGATATTATATGCACTTATTATCACCCCAACTCATACTTGCACCTTCCTAGTAGACTTACTAATTTTGATCACTACATTCAAAGGTATTATGTTGCATTAAATAATTAGAATTAACAATAATATAAAATGCAATGGTAACTTTGTTATAGTAGATTATGCAGTAATGATTGATTTTCATTTTTAAAATTGTATTATTAAAATTGAGGTAGGAGAAAGTAAGATGAATTAATAGTATACTTTATAAGAAAACTTTCTCCAACAAAATGAAACTAAATTTTTGGGTGTTCAATAGCAACCTTAACTTTTGCAATAAGCATAACTTGCACTAACAACATATAATATCTTATATAAATGCTTATGACATTATTCCTTGTAGTTCTACTGGCATTTCGTGAAGCATGAGTTGGATCTTCTCTTCCACGTTGTAATTCAACAATTCACTGATGAAAGAGAGTTGAACTGTGGGACTAATCTATTTGTTCACTTGACCAAGGTAGGTACTGTATAACAAATTTTGTCTTAAATTTTTATATTTTGAGTTGTGTGTCTTAAGTGCTTCGGTTGCATGAGAGGCAATCCAAAATTTTCTTCAAAATTATAGTTCTACGTTGTAGTTGGAGTACTTTTTGTAACATTTTTGTTTGATATTTGTAGCTTTTTACACCCGAGAATTTGATCGAACCTGTTTGTGTAGTCTTAATTATCAGGTATGTAAATGATAGATTGTATATTACATGTCGTAGGATATGTATGTTGATGGTAACCATTGGCAGAATTAGAACCCCTTGTTTGATGACGATACTGAACATTCTATAGTGTTCTCTATCATAAGTATAAGCCTTCTAGGTTGCATCTTTGTAGGAAGGTTATTTGTAATTTTGAAATGCAAAACTGTGGTTTTTGCCTTTACGGTAACGTACTAACATTTGTGATAAAAATTTAGTGGTATCACTAAAGTTATCTTTATATCACAAGTGCTTTTATGAGAATCATTAGGACTGTTGAGACGTCGTACTTCTTGAAAAATGTATAATTACATTGTAAAAATGTCAAAATTTGGCTTACCATATTTTTCTTAAGATATAACATTTGATTATGTAAGTACGTCGTTTTGGTAAAAAGAATGTGTTCGCATAATGGTATTGTCTTTTTCCAATATCTATAGTCTACCATGTAAAATATAATTCGATGATATGGCATGTTTGGTTTGGTGGATAGGACGGGATTCGAGTAGTTACCCAGGACATATATCATATTTGTTATATCTCATGAGTTACCAAAAGAATCAAATGACACGGTGGTAGAAGTATTATCCTATCCGATCTATCACTCATATGTAACAAATATGGAACTAATCTTGCCCACACAGTACAATCCACTCACTACGCATTAATTGAGTCGATTCCCATTACACAAACCAAACAAGGCCAACATGTACATACATATCCTTAGCGTCTTATCCTTCTATTGAGTCGAATCCCATTACACAAACCAAACGTGACCTATATGTACATACATATCCTTAGCATTTGATCCTTCTATCGGCACAATCAGTACACACGATTTGCTGACTTAAAAGTTGAAGCATAAACTTTTGTGCTTGTGCAGTAATGCGTCGAAATCTTGATTCATCTGCAGCATAGTTTTACGATAATTATTACAAAGTTTTTTGCATTATCACTGTCAACCTGAAGTTGAAGAAAAAATTGTATCAGGTAAAGAAATTTGCAGTGAGTTTGCAATGATTGATATGCTAAATAGAGCTTCCAATTAAAAAGGGGCTTAAAACAATAGATCACCTGCCACAACCCAATTGGTCCAAATTTTATTATTCATTATTTTATCATTCGTTATTTTATTGTCTTTGCATCATCAATGACAATTTCTATGTTACATTCTATTATGAAAAGTAGCACCCTAATTCAGTAGGCGTTCTTAGACGTGTCCAAAGGCCGGGCCGAGTCGTGCGCTTGGTCGATGGGCCTCAAATGCTGGGCCTGAAATTGGCCCGGCTATATCTAAGGGCCGGTTAAAATGAACCGGCCCGATCCGGCGGTTCATTAAACTGCCTGTTTTTTTATTTAAAAAAAATAAAATAAAATAAAATCACTACGACCCGCCGGTTCTGGGCCGGTGCCTTCTGACTCGGAACCGGCAGGTCAAAAACTAAAAAAAATTAAGATCTGGAACTGGTCCTTACGGGCAAAGGGTCCGGTTCAAAAAATGGTAAATCCGTGCCGGTTCGACCCCTTATCCATGTCTAGGCGTTCCTTAAAGGAGTGCGTGAAGATCTTGGTTAGGACTTGGGAGTATCAACAGCTATGGGTGGCATTGACTTTGGAATATGCTGAAGTCAACAAAAGAAGCCACTTATGGGTGGCAATGACTTGGGACAGCTGGTATTGAGTCCCGTAATCCATGTAATCATATGGTTGATATTTTGTAGCCTTCACGACAAAAATGCTTAAAATTTAAGTACTAATGAAGAACTAGTAAAACGCCCGTGTATTACTACACGGTGCTTGCTAATTTTTTCCTCAAAATATAAAATTAATGAGAAAAAATAGTTGAAAATTTATATACTTTTTATTAAAATATATATATTATTATATATTTAGTATAACACTTTTTATTTGTGTGACTCACTTGTGTTATATTATAATAATTTTTTTAACTTACAACATATAACTATATTAAACATAAATATATCAACTGAGAAATAATTTTATTTTTTTAATAAATTTTAATAAATATTATTATTTTTTATTATTATAAAGATAAATATAATTTATTTATTTTATATATACAATATGGATGTCAAAACGAAGATCATGAAAAGATGATTAATTTGATATATTATATATGTAAAACCGATAAGAAATATAGAAGTTATCAACTTTTAAAATACATTTATAATTCAATAGCTAATTGAAAGAAACAAATCAAAAGTCAGGAGATATTAGTCAATTAGTGCCTCACTATGTAAAATTACAAAAAATTAAAGGGTTATATTAGTATAAGCGATATTAAAATACCTAAGTTGGCTAAATAATATATATGGAATGTCCGAACCTAAATTATTAATTATTAATATATCAATATTATTTGTCCAAACCTAATTACGAAGCATGATTCTTTGCCCAGTAGGATTCCGAAGCACCTGAAGCAGCCACGTAGGCTCAGCTCATTCGAGAATTATATATACTAGTACAACGCCCGTGTATTACACGAGTGCTTGCTAATTTTTTTTT